TAACACTTAATCAAAAGCTGAAATCTAGTAATTCTGTTTTTGTGGTAAAACTTATTTTTGCCCTGGTCCACATGGCTCAGTTGATTGAGTGTCATCCCATGCACCAAAAGATTGCTGCTTTGATTCCAGTCAGGGCACATACCCGGGTTGCATGCTCATTCCCTGGTGGAGGACATGCAGAGACAGCCTGTCAATGATTCACTCTCACATCAATGTTTCTCTCTCTGTCCCTCTGCTTTCCTCTCTAAAAAAAAATCAATAAAAAATCTTTAGAATAAAACAAAACTAAAACTTTTCTCCCTGTGAAAACAATGCTATACTTTGTTTTATGTTAGTGTTATGTATGAGATATATTTTCAGGATAATGCATCAGAATATCTGGCAGTGAATTTCTGTGTGTTATTACGTCAGATTTAATACATTGTTATTATAAGCTTAGGCGTCTTTGTTGATAAATGTGCTCTATTTTTGTGTTTATGTTCAGAAAGTTATTTTGCCTTCTGTCCTAAATGAAAAGTTCAAGGAACCTATTAATATATTTCTACCTTTTTGATGGTACAAGTTTCAAGTTACTGTGTTGTATCATTTCTTTTCTTCTGGTTCTTAGCGTTACACTTGCCTGAGGAGCATCATTCTAGAGAAACTTAAAAAGGAACAAAAATGTTGAAACTACTTAGGAATCTTGGTGCCTTTTGGTAAATTCAGTGTATCAGAAAACAGTCATTTAAAAGGTTAACAAGTAAAAATGATATAAATATATTTCTTTGTGTGATAATATGCTATAAAAGGTACCATTCAAAGGGGGAAAGAAAGTAGGAGGAAGAAGGGTAATTTTTACAGAAAATGAGGGCAATGTTGGTTGCCTTTTATTGAGATTTTTTAAGCTTTCATAAAGATTGCCTTTTACCATTTTTATGAATTTAGTAGGACAGTTTATGTGGTAACTGGTCATATACAACAATGTACTACATAAATATGATGTGTTAACATAGCACATACACAATTGAAATCTAGCATGAAAGGTTAAAAAATACTGCACAATATTTCTTAAATTACTCTGCTGTGGTAAGAGAACTTAACATCAGATTATTCTGTGATGTCTTTTAACTTTTTGGGAAAATACATTTGTAAAGAAACCTTGATTTGGGTTCAATATAGGTTTTTAAAACTATGAATGTTGTCTTTTTTATATTTTTATGAGAAAGTGGAAGAAACTTACTTTGGAAGAAAATGGGCTTCTGTATAAATGTTGAAATATGTATGTTGTGAGTTTTAGGAGCATACAATCACCTGTAAGTTTTACAGAACCACCTGCTTTCGGTGATTGTAAATAAACTCTCAAAACTTCCTTGAAAGGCTCCGTACAGAATGTGTCAGTTGACAGGAAAATTTAATAGTAATTAAACACATTTTACAATGTGGTCTCTTTAAGGGCAATTTCAGCAGTTAACTTGAAAGAGAAAAAAATGTGTACATAGGTAACATCACTTGCAATGAAATAAAACTCAGAATTTGTGCTCACAAGTTTACGCTTCTGTTATCTTTTTGCTGTTTTATTTAATGCCAGTCTTTAGTAAATGTATTATGTCTCAACCACAACCATTTCAAAAGAAGTCATTAGATCATAGGTTTTCATCCTCAAACATTTTGTTAGTATAACTGTACAATATTGAAATTCTGTCCTGGAATCAAAATATGGCACTAGGCCACAGGTTAGTAGTGGATATGGAAAAAAGTGCACAGAAGGTGTACTTCATACTCATGGTTTTATGTATTCTTTTAATTTTTATTTTGAGCCAATTGTAGAAAAGTTGTAAAAATATTACAATTTTCATATATATTTCATCTAGCTTCCCCTGTTAGCATTTACATAACCATAGTACAATGATAGCCAAGAAATTAATGTGAAAAAAAGCAAACCAAAAACCTTATTCATATTTCACCAGTTTTCCCACTAATGTCCTTTTCCTGTTCCACAATGTTACCCAGAAAATATATTTACTTCTAAGTCTACTACTATCTAGCAGTTCCTCAGTCTTTGTCTTTGAGGCCTTATCACTTTTGAAGAATATTTATCAGTTATTTTGTCTAATGTTCCTCAATTTGGGTTTGTCGTTTTCTCATTGAACTAAAGTTATGCTTTTTGGAAGACTATCACAGAAATGCAGTTGTGTCCTCAGCCCATCATATCACAAGATTCCTAATGTCAATATATTATTGGTGATATTGACCTTGAACATTTGGTTAAGGTGGCTTCTGTCAGGTTTCTCCATTGTAAAGTTAGTTAATAAATACCTTGGGGGAGATACTTTGAGATCACGCAGATTGTTTCTCCTAACACTCATCCACTTGTTTTAGTGGATGTTGTCTATGACAGTTATTTGGGGGAGAAGGGTTGTTAATTTTTTAAATAATTTATTTTTCAATTACAGTTGACATACATTATATTAGTTTCAGGTGTACAACCCAGTGATTAGACATTTCTATAACCTATGAAGTGATCACCTTGATAAATTTAGTACCCATATGGCACCATACATAGTAATTACAATATTATTGACTATATTCCCTATGCTGTACTTATCCCCATGATTATTTTGTGACCACCAATTTGTGCTTCTTAACCTCCAGCCCCCCAACTGCTCTCCCCTCCAGCAACTGTCAAAATGTTCTCTGTATCCATGAGTGTGACAGTTATTACTGTGATGTTTTGCCAATGGTGATTTTCTATTTCCTTCTACACTAATTGGAATTTTATACAGAAGAGCTGTCTCATCTCCCCCATATTTATTTAATTATTTACAGTATGGACACATGGATTTTATTTGTTATGTGGGTTAGAATCCAATAATACCATTATTTATTTTGTTGCTCAAATTGTCCCACCTTTGGCTACCAAGAGAGCTCCTTCAGGTTGGCTCCTTTGTTCTTTTAGCACATCCTATTTAAACACACACACACACACCCACACACACACACACACACACAAAACGTTTTCTTACTTTCTGAGATAACAAGGTGTCCCAGATTCATCTTGCCTCCCTGCCCCATTTTTTGAACCAACTACTTCTCCAAGGGACCTGCCCTGATTTTAAATTGAAGAATAGTATTTAGAATATAAGATATGAGTTCTGTCTTAGTATGTTTTTTTAAAATATATTTTTTAATTGATTTCAGAGGGGGGGGAGAGGAAGAGAGAGATAAAAACATCAATGATGAGAAAGAATCATCCATTGGCTGCCTCCTGCAAGGCCCCCACTAGGGATTAAGCCCACAACCCAGGGTATGTGCCCTGACGGGAATCTAACTGTGACCTCCTAGTTCATAGGTCAATGCTCAACCACTGAGCCATGCTGGCTGGGCCTTAGTATGTTTTTTACACATCTCACTGATAGTGTTCTAAGATAATTAAATAAGATGTAGAGTTTTACCATTAGCTGTAAGAAATCAGGTGTCATCCCTTCAGCATTTCTCATCTTTGCTTTCATATCACTGGACTCTTCCTCAGGAGCAATGCTTTCTTTGACAAATGATGGAAGAGGGAACGTCTTCAATTAAAAATTGTCATTACTGCCTCCTTCCCTCACTCTACAATATATGTAAAATCAGACATAGGACAAATATCCATTTTCTGATTATATATATATATATATAGAGAGAGAGAGAGAGAGAGAGAGAGAGAGAGAAGCCATTGGATTATGTTACCTTAATTGAAAAAAGTTGAACCAAACCAGTATCTCAAATTGTATTTTTGTATGCTGTCCTGCAGTTTTTTTCACCCTGGAAAAATTGTATTATAGAAGGACTAGATGTGTATGTATATGTATAAAGATTGAGAAAGGCCTTATGAAAGAACAAGAGAGAAAGGAAAGCCAGTGTGTGTTGCAGATGTTCTCAGTTGAATTTAAGAAGAGGGTATTGATAGAAGCTGAAGACCTGGAGATTGCCAATGTTCTTGAAAAGTCTTTTGTGTACCCACAAGAGTTTCTGTGTGTGCTAGTCAAGGTATTCAGTAATAGCCACAAACTTTAGTATAACTCCTGTTTACTAGTAAAAGGGTGCTATACCAATGTAGAAATAACACTTCAACAGTGATTTTCTCGGTGTTCATTTGCAATCTAGTTGGGTAGACCAGACACATAGAAACAAAAAGAGGACGAAAAAGAAGACTTTCAGTTAAACTTGGCAAATTGAACCCATGTTTTTATTACCATTCATCCTGAAATCTAACTAAAATGTCAGAAAAGAAGCAAAAAGCATAAGTCCATAAGGCAAAGAGAAAAAAAGAGGAGATGAAACAAATGAGAAATGACAATTCTTTTGAAAGCTGGAAAGTTGATGGAATAAACAAGGCCAAAGCATAGGCCTGTAGTGAGGAAATGCCAACAAAAACAAGCCAGTTCATGCCACAGAACTCTGGAGAGGCTCCAAACTTCATGGCACCATACACTTGTCAGCCACGATACAAGAGGAACTTGAAGACAGACAGCTAATGGAAAGTTCATGTAAGAAGCTGTGTCCCTGTGTACCCATCTTCAGTTCATGCTGTGTGGTGAGTTTATTTTCATTATTTTTATCCCTTTACTGTAACATTTTTGAGTGAGCAGCAGTAAACTCCTGCATTCAACTGGCCATGCTTAATGAGTATTATATTAATTTAAAATCACATAAGCCCGGCCAGTGTGGTACAGTGGCTGAGTGTCGACCCAGGAACCAAGAGGCCGCTAGTTCAATTCCCAGTCAGGGCACATGTTCAGGTTGGGGTCTTGATCCACTGTGGGGGGCATGCAGGAGGCAGCTGATCAATGATGTTTCTCTCTCATTGATGTTTCTATTCCTCTATCCCTCTCCCTTCCTCCTGTAAAAAAAAAAAATCAATAAAAACATTTAAAAAAGCAAATCAAATAAGACACAATGGAAGTTACCATATGCTAAGAACCACTAGGG